AAGTTGCAGTGACAGTTTGCGATGTGTCCATATCCTGGAAATGGAGACCACTTGCACGCGCTACTGATCTAACGCAGTGGCATAAAACGATGAAATCTCTTACACTAGGGGCTCCAAAATATACGAAAGAAGCGGAGGATACACTTCGCACGTACCGCCAACGAACCTCCTTCGGAAGATCAAGACAGGCTGTGTATATAATATTTCGATTTTCGCAGGTATTTTGCAACGCGTTTAAGTTTATTAAAAATATGGTGGGAACACCTAAGCACCTCTCATTACTTCTGATGGTTCTTTGACAGTATGTTTGATTGTGGTCCATGAACTTTTCGGCCGTATCATCTCTGAACGCATCACGTCTTATTCGCCCGCTCCTCCGCTCCTAGAAAGGAATAATGCAACATGGGTCGTCTGAAACTTTCAAACATGGTGCATGAAGTCACCGATTTTGAAAGATCTTCACTTTTCGTAACGTAAAAATAGTTGCGGCTTATTTTCAATTATTGACTCACAAAGTTTCGTTTTCGAGCTGGCGCATTTAAATTCAAAGTGAATTCTGTTGAATATTGAGATGTAATATTCCTTTATGCTTTTACATAGACGAACAAGAAATGACATCAGAAGTGTCAGAGATCATTGGCCGTGTGCGATGCATGCGCGAGCAGTTGCAAGAATATGTGGACAAATCGACGCCGGTTATTCAGACGAGGTCGAAGATCGATGTCATGTCATCCGTGGTCAGCGATGCAAATCCGTACAGGTAATTTCTGTGGCAGGTACTCGTAGCTGTTAATCTGAGTTATCAGTTGTCGCCAAGATCTTTATGGCAGTAATTCACACCATGTGACCACGTGAAGTGCAACCGAAAGGTCCGCCTCTTACGTAGACCACACCCATGATGCAACGGGCGGTTTGTTGCAAACCAGAACCGATCGCTGGAAAGAATGGAACTTTTTCAGAACTATTTAAGTTAAACTCTTCTGTAATTACGACTTATACCTTGTGTTAAATTTTAGTCAGCTATGAGTTGAGTCACGGTGAATTACAGCCGAACAGCGCACACTTCAGACAGCGCAGTTATGTCTCATTCATTCTGGCATTGCCGCATCAGAGCACCGTTCTCTCTATAATTCAAGTCAGCGACTTGCTACCGGATTCTCGGCTCGTTGCACTGAAAAGTAATTTCTTTCCTAAGGAAATTAGCAGTTATAATAAAAAAATTTTACTCAACGTATAGTATGTGAGCTTTTACATCTAAAGTCTAAAACCGCACTATAAACCACTGCACCAATGCCCCATTTCCAAATTCGAATTAAAGATGTATTGAACATCGGCAGAGATCGGAAGCCATTAAAGAAGTCATTTGATCTCCATCATTACAAACGATATAAGCATCACGCAAAACATCGAAACAAATAGAATTGGTCAAATTTTGTAACGAGGCAATTCCGCATTAGCTCCTAAAGTAAGAATTTCCTGTAACAGGAAGAAAGAAATTATCATTCCAATCTCTGAAGGTCGTAATACAACCTATTTCTGTAACTGTCAGAGAGTTATTCTGTTGTCTGCGTCGCGAAAGATCTTTTGAAAAATCACTGGTAACGACTACGGAAGATTGTGGATCGCACTTTCGAAGTAAATCATATTTGTTCATCTCGCCGTATCGCCGAGCAATTTCGACGGTTCCAGATTCTCTGGTTACACAGTTTCTATTTCACATTTTATTCAGGCAACATCCAACTGTGCCAGAAGTCGTGCGAAGTTTCATTATTCTAAATCAGTCTGTCCTCTAGTTGAGAAAATGTTACGACTAAACGGATTGTCAGCGAAGGTCTAGGAACTAATTTCGGAATGCTTAGACATCGGAAACGACATCATCTGGATAATTTGCTTTATCCCTCTGCTCTTCACTATTGCAGTGGGTCATTTTTTACGAAATAACGCTGAGCTTCACTGCGAAGGAGACATGCTAAAACGAAGGTGAAGCTCAAGATATCCTGCAGCGTATATCACTGACTTGGATTGTTCGAGTGACATTGTCTTACTGAATGGTAATGAAGTGGCTTACTACTGAAACGGTGTGCCTGGCGATAGCGAAGACTGGTTTCTTCGTGAACCCATCGAAAACAAAATGATGAGGAACCCAGTCAGAGCAGTGAAATTATGTCATAGACACAGTGCTACCAATGAATTCGCCCAACTTAAATATACTGGTATCATCCTTTTAGACATGGCAAAACTATGGTCAGTCCTTAAGTTGCAAAATTATACCCACTTCTTACTCCTTCAGTAGCTTCTCGAAACCTGGACTGGAAAGGGAATCTGCAGTGAGGTAAATTCTACTTTACCGACTAGAAATGGCTTTGCTTTGTTTGAACTGTATCAGAGCTTTTGCTGTGACGCATGCTTTAATTCAAGTCGTGCTACAGTGCCAGAAACGCTCGTTTTAGCTGACTTCGTGGGTATATCTGAGATGCACTGAGGCAAATTGGCAATGTTCGATTATTTGCTGGAAGGAAACCAAGGTCACTGGCTCATCAGCTGCTTAAGTGGGAATCGAAACTTCGGCGACGGAACATCTGTGCGCAGCACATCACATGGCAGGATGTTAAGCGGAGAACTGTTAAAGATGTCGAACGTTTTTAAACGTCCGTAATCGCCTCTTGATTTCAGAGTAAAAAGCAGCGAAATGAGTTATGAAGATCATGAATCATTAGCAGGCTGCGGACCTCCGTTATCACAGAGATAAGAAAATGAGGATGGCCCTGTCAGACAGATTGCGTAAGCAGAAACCATTTACTCCAGCCCGACAGCATTTCATGTAGGAATCGAAACATTGCACGCGTCAAGCATTAGTACAGTATTTTTCATTCCATGCAAAATGAATCAAGAAGGTATTGAAAGAGCTGCTTTCGGAATGAAATGGCTGCTTCTATGATGCAGTGACCGGTGCCTTAGAGCAGGAGTGTTAAAATACTCATAACACGGAGAATGTCACAAACCACAGTAGTCCTTCTTTTGCAAGCAACTCATTGTAATGATCTTCATAAACCACAAACAGGCATTTCTTCTATATGTCTCGGCAATATTTTTGCAAGTTATTACGACATTGTCTTTAACTAGCACCTACGGTAACGTCTGAATATTATGTCAGCAGTGAACATCGTCTTCTGCTTAGCTGTGGTTTTTCTTACTCACATTGGTAATGAGTTCTGTTTCTTCGATTCAGTACTTTGGATATAGAAACTCTTTGAGAAGAGCGAGTGTCAAAAATAATTGAATTTGTTTACTCAATGAAAGTGCTGCCTTTTAGCCGTCTGATGGCACTGAAAAGGCTCGGCATAGTGAAGAATTATGAGCAGATTCGAACGTACTCGATCGTAATCGTTGGTATTGGAGGAGTTGGAAGTGTGGTTGCGGAAATGTTGACACGATGTGGAATAGGCAAGGTAGCGTAAGAGCGAATATATTATGTGGTTCATGAAGTCGGCAGGACTTCTTTTAACGGATGCTGAACTAAAAATTATTAATTTTTTAAAGCATAGTTAATATCTGAAGCTGAACCCTTATCAAAAGGAATTGTTAGAGTTGTTTTAGTTAATTGATTTCCGATGCGATTTGAGCAGTGATTGGATAGAAGAACTTTGTTTATATGTTTATGATTATAATGAATGTTCCTGTTACTATTTCTCGTTCTATTTCTTCTTTAATTTCTCTTCTTTTGTATCATTTTCTTTGCCGTCATCTTTCACTGCTTCCTTCTCGTACCGCCTTCTACAGCTAACCATTTTCTTCTTCGAGTTTTGCTACCTTTTACATTCCCGCTTCTTTTTTAATTTCGCCCATTTCCCTTATTTCCTCTTTTTATCGTTATCTTCCTCTTCTCCTTCGTCTTCTTTCTTAGTCTTCTTCGTCTTCTCTTCGATTTTCTCTCGATATTCTTCTTCGTTCCTCATCGTCATGTTCCGTTTTCTCGTTTTATTCATCTTCACCTTTCTCTTTTATTTCTTCTTCCGGTTTTTCCTTACCTTCGTTTTCGTCTCTGCCATTTGCTCTGATTTTTCCGCTTGCCATTTCTTTTCCACTGTTTTCTTCATTTTTCTTCCTCTTCGTTTTCGTCGTGCTTTTCTAATTCCTTACTCTTATTTCTTTTCTCGCTGTTTTCTTCCTCCTGTTTCTCCTTCCTCATTTTTTCTCTTGCATTCTTTCTGTTCCACTTATCTGCGTCGCTTTCCATTTCACCTGCCACCTTCCATTTTTCCTACTTTTTGAAAGACCATTTTCAGTCAGTCAGTTTCAATGTCCGCTTATCCTTTGGGTTGCAGAAGAACACCCGTCGGACATCACCGACGTTCTCGATTCTGTGTCAGCGTTTGAGCTTCGGCGGAAGATTACCGGGATCTGGAACCGAGTCTGTCGAAACACTTTCCCTATCTTATTCTTTGCCGTCCCGCGGTCCCCGTACCGAAGTTGCAGGACATTTAATTGGACTCTTCCATGGCAGCAAAGCCTGCAAATGCTTGTTGCATTGCAGCGTCGCGAGACAGATTGTATTATGTCGGCGAAAACTCTTAGAACTGACGTGTCAGGCTCAGTGGAACTAGTCAGCCAGACGGTTCTTTATTTCTGTTGTATTCACAGTTTATTTCAAAGATCTCGCCATAGTCTTATGGTATCTTCTACATAGTTTTCTGATGTACACATGGAAGGAAGAAGTTCACATGAATGGAAGGCCTCCTTGTAGTGGTAAGCGAAGTACGGTTAATGGGATCATTCTAACTGGCCATTTTCCATAATCACACCAGCGTTGTGGTCGAACCCTTCTTTCACTGCTGAGTTACAATTTCATCCGATCGTCTGTGAGCACGGTTTCTACTTCTCGAGTTTCACAGTTGAAATTAGTGAAACAACTGATATTTTCGAGATTTAGCTTAACCTACTTATAAGCGTTTTATCAAAATGTTCTATTTATTACACAAATGAGTAGAATGTACCAAGAGATCCCATAATTTATGCATTTTTGCATATTGAATCAGTCAGTCAGTTAGTTTCGATGACCACTTAACCCTTCCAGTTGCCGAGACAGACGCTTCAGAAAGAGCCTCCAGCGTTCTCGATCCAGTGCAAACGTTTCAGTTTCACCGTACTACAACCTGAGTCTGGGGCAGAGTCCCACATCATTCTTAGTCGTGCTCGGGGTCTTTGGCCAGTCAATCGGGAAAGTTGTAGCGTAAGACCAACCGAAACCGTCGTACTGACACTTCTCAATCTGCAGAAACAGCAGTTGTACACCAAGGCTCACTCGCGGATATCTGTACTCCGGGGTTCACATAAATTTGCTCGCCGCAGAGCTGATCGTCTGTACAGTTGCTGTACTTACTACGTGTTATGGGCACGATAGTTGGTCCAGAAGAGAATTGTTATAATAGTTGCTGTAGTTCGAATGGATAGTCGTCAAGAAATGTCTGTGCAGCTGATTTCGAGCACGAAGGGGAAACCGAAATACTGCACCTGGGTCAATTGTTTATCAGTGGCAAGGAGACGGTAAAAAAGGTAATGTAGAAGTGCGAACTCATCCAGAAGAACAAATGTCATGCCAGATTTCGCATATCGGACGAGTGCGTCATATTGTCAGTCGGAAAACAGCCACGCTACTGATTTCGCCATAGCAGCAGTAGGAAAAGTTATTGAAAAATTAAAGGCACGCGCCATATTGTCTCAGAATTCTACTCCTGAGATTGTGGCCTTAGCTTCTGTAAGGCCAAGCAGTAGCCAAAAATTGTCATTCATCTGTAGCATGAAGGAGGTAGTCAGATGCCAGAGAGTCGAGTCGCGCGTTGAACTACTAGGTCCAACCAGCCGAAGCGATTTGGCACTGCCGGAAGGGTACGGGCAGACGTTCAGTCGCGAAAGTTTCCTTTTGTGCGGCAGAGGACACGGTAGCAAATGTCTGTTAGCTTTTTCTACTAAGAATATTTTGCTACTAAATCAAGTTTGGCACTTCGGTTGGTGCAGTCTGATTTAGAGCATGCGACCATTAACGCTTTTCAGAGAAGCTTTCCAAGTGTCCTGCATCGCTGGTGCTTTTACACTTTGACCAATGCAACTACCGAAGCATTCAGGCGAATTGTCTCCAGCAAAGATACTTAACGGATGCCTTCGCCTTAAAAATTTGATTGCTCACTGCACTATCCTTCATACCAGTGCACGTGCAGCGTGCATTTGAGGTCGTTTCAAAAACAGATGATTACCCTCTCGAAGCGCAAGTGTTTATAATCTACTTCGAAGACATTCATGGATTGGTTTTCCGGATCGACGTGAGGCACTAAGGCAACCACGCGTCGTTCTCTAACACTTTGTAATTGCTTTGACACTATCTATGAAGGCCTGCCAAAAACGAATAATGCCATAGAATGATGGCACCGAGAATTTTCGCATGTTTTTGACTCGCACCATCCATCCATATGGAAATTAATTGTGGACTTGTAAACGGAACAAAGCCTGAACGAAACTACGATCGAGCAGTTCATTGCAGGTCAGCCGCAACTGCCATAAAAAAGGAATGCGCTGATTCAACTCAGCGTATTGTCACCATAGCTGGTTCTTATTCTGGTGTATACTTCGAAGAACCCAAGAATCCTAACGTCAATATGCAACTTCTCGATTGCTTTAAGGGCGTTGCACACACTTTTAATTATTAATTACTAAAATCTCGTGTTGTATCATGCAGCAATTTTGCGTTGTATTATATTAAATGTGTTCGTGTAATAGTGCCTAAAACAAATTGCAAAATATATTCTTCATGCAACTACGTGGATCGTATCCTCCTGTTTCACGACTGTGGAAACGAAGGTGAACCAAATCACGAGTCACCAAGACGATCAACTATGAGGCGAACAAGTGTGTGTGCGAGCAAACCAGGGCATCCCGTATCGGATCATGTCGAGAGGTGTGAACAGCGCGATTCGTCTGTGAAAATCTAATTCAGCCGCTTATACCCGTGATCTAAATTTTTCAGCCACGGCCGACAATTAATGACTATAGGGGAGCATGCAGATGAAGATTGTCTTGAAAACAGACTCTTTGGTTTTCAAACTCAACAGTTAGCCGCGACGGTTCGGGCTACATCACGCGGAACGCCATTTGCCATTCCAGTTCGCCGGTCGATTTCTTCGTTTCGTTTTCCGTCATCCTTAAACACGGTCCCAACGTTCTTGTACTGCGTTTATTTGAAAAGCAATGGGCTTTTCGTTTTAGATGCGTTCGCACGCATGCCGGTTACGTCGCACTCGGCTGCGAACGTTTCTAGGGAGCACTATAGATCAGTTTCAGAGGATGCCAATAAAACAAGGTCGTCTGCAAGCAGCATCCTTCTCGTCTCCACATCTCCTACGCTGATACTTTTGTCGCCCTGGTTGCTCCTGACTCTTCTATCTATGTACAACACAAACAGAAGGGACAAATCGCAGACATGAACGTTTCCATTGATAGAAACCAGTGCCAACGTTGAAGAGATTCGACATAACGCCATTTACTTTGACGCAGCTCCTGCTATAAGAATATAGTGAATGGATGGCCCGTAACATCTAGCCATTTATCCCGTATGCTCGCAGGCATGATCACAGGCTGTTGCGCGGGATCCGGTCATAGGCTTTTTCTAGGTCATGAAAGCATATGTACCCCGGACAGACGTACTCCCACGATTTCTCAACGTCCTACGCATTGCGAAAATCTGGCCAGAGATGCTTTGAATTTGGCAAAATCCTTACCGCTCTTCTTGGATGTCAGAGTCAGCTATACCGCGATACCTCTATTCTAAGACATTTGCACAAATGTTTCCCGGAAAATTGCCTCCCTGACCATGTCTTCCATAATTGGAGTGGTCCTTATGGTCTCCTTTATTGAACAAGGTTATTACCGCTCTGGTTATCTAACCCCCTGGCGTCTTCCCCAAGGATATATCAGTTGGACAGATGCGTATCAGCTACAACATACTTTTTCGTTTACTTTAATTACCTTTTAAAGCTTTAAGTATCTCGGAATACATTTCATTGATTCCGACAGCCTTGCCACTTTCCACGATTTTAGTTTCTTTGACTTCGTCTACTGAAATACTGCTATTCGTTGCCTGCTGCTTTTACTTCGGTTGCTCGTTGTTAAGGAATTCCTCAAGGTATCCTCACCATCGCCAAAGTATCCTCTTCCTTAGTGGGAAGACGTCCGGACTTGTTCATCAGGATTCTTATGCTCCCCTTCTTTCCATGTCGGAGGCGGCATAGGGTCTGCCAAAATACCTTGTTCGCCGTTTGGAAATTCGACTTCAACACCTCACCGAACTTTTCCCAAGAATCACCTTTGGCTTTCACCACTGCTTTCGCTGCCACCTTGCGCGCTTCTACATATCGCATGCGAGTTGAAGGCTCTTTGCTTCTTGAGTGCAGCCTTCTCACTGACTGCCTGTTGTACCTCTGGTGTCCATCATTAAGTTACTTTCTCACCTCTTGGCGGCAGGCCAGTCTGTTTTAATCCGCAGCATTCGTTGGCAGCCCTGAGTACGCCACTCTAAAAGAGTTCCCACTCTGTTTCCACATCGGTGGTCACCACTTGGATCTGTTCAAACCGTCGTGCGATGTTGTTTGCTAGTTCTCCCTCGTGTTCGCAGAAGATACTGTTTCTCAGTTGATTGTCTGGTTGATTCTGCTGCCAGGTCTGTATTTCGTACTCCATCGTTTGCTGCGGAGGGTGTCACCGTCGTGGTCGGCTGTGGCGAATGCGCGGCGTTACCTGGTCACGAAGAAGTTAGTTTTGGTAGACGTCGTTTTTCGTACGCTCAACGTTGCTTCATCGCCTTCGTCCTCATCTGTCTTCGTTTCCTGTACGAAATGCGTTGATCCCGAATACGAAGGAGCCTCAGCGGCTTTCGACTGCATTCTGATGATCTTCCTGGTGATCAACACCGCCGCCGACATCACCGAGGTAGACGGAGTGCCACTTCTAACCAGATAGTGGGCATCGTTGCTTAGCCTGAAGAGGAAATCTTGGATGCCTGCTGAAGAAATCCGCGACCGATGCTAAGACATCTGCTGAGTCTGAGGACGATGTCGTCTTCGAATTGTTCAGGAACCTCGAAAGTGAGGAAATGGACGATACTGAATATCGCAGACGAAATGGATGACATCAGGTTTGAAATGAAGTCGAATTCAGTGACGTACTGTGATCTTGACATCAAATCGGATGACGTTGTATTTTTCTAAGGTTCGAGAAGAAAAATGTTAATGACAACATTTTCGGCAAATACGAGGGAGACAGTTTGAAGGAGTGGATATATGTGAACATCTTGTTGGTCATCGATTTCAGTCAAGAAAAAGTCGAAAAAGTCTTCAAATTTCACATAAATTCAGTCGTATTTCAAGCAACGAGAAGGCTTTGCCGACAAGGTGAAAAAATTTAAGTTCATGCAAAAGTCGCTGTTTGTTCATGTCAACACGGACGTCGAGAACAGTCAGAATATGGGAGTTCTTTGCGATCGATGCAGAGGCGCTGCCTACCGTTGAAATGGTGTCTCGAAGGTAACACTGTCAATAAAAAAATTGGTTTCAAAGGTTTAACCATACCGACACCACAGTGTTTGGGCAGAACTACTTAGATGATAAACACAAGCCTCATTTGCTTTCTCAGAAGTTACCGAAAAGTTGGGACCAAAGCAGCATTAAAGTTGTGGTCGCAGAAAATTTTAGGAAGGTCGTCAAAGCTCCGAAGGAGAATGTGCATTTAATTTTCTATGCTTCGTGGTGCAAGCACTGCAAACAACTGCAACCAGTATGGGCCGATCGAACACGCCAATCACTTCGACTGATCGAAGATGGACAGGATTGGGAGCGACTATGAAGACTTGAAAATCACGCGACGATCAGATTTTTCCCGGAAAGTTCTGAAAAAATCGAAAATTTACCCTGGTGACCATACTTTAGACTGATCGTCTTAAAGCAGGTACGTTTTGGTTGTGCATCTGGCTCATAGTGCTCATCTGAACAAAAAGCAATAGCAGTTTGAACAGAGAGATATCCATGTAATTGCTACAGTTTCTTTGCCCATTTTTCTCTAAAAACGGGTAACTAAGTAGTACTCCCCTGG